GCACGCACGCACGCACGCACGCACACACACATACGCACGCACGCACATACACGCACGCACACACATACACATACGCACATACACATACGCACGCACGCACGCACACGTTTTGCATTTATAAAATGCAATTAATGCGTATAAAGATAAAAGTATATATCAATTGGTCGTTATTATATTTTCAAGTTTTCCATCTTATACACAGGAACATCGGATAGAGTTTTTATCTCCTTACCAAAGTTCACAGTGATGGATAACTTCGTTGAATTTGATTCATCACTATTTTTAACTAAATTATCGTTATAAATGCTTTTAAAATTCGATATTAAATTCTTTTTTAATGGACATTGGTCAAAGAGGATATATCCATTATTTTTCTTACAGTACTTCCAAAGTACTTCCCAATGTTTATTCTGACAAAGTATCCTTGGATTACCTATTATTATCATAAGTGCCTTTGCTCGTGTTAGAGCAACATTAAATCTCTGTAAAAAATAATTATATATAATATACATAAAGCTCTCTCCTTTCTTGTTCATATGCAAAGCTAATTCATATAAATATATGTGCACATGTATAAATAATACATGTATAAATAATACAGATTATAGCAATTGTTAATGTTAATGCGCACGCTTGGTACTAAAATGAATAAAATACCTTTTCATTGGATAAGAAACCAATATGCTCTTTGTTATGATGTTCAAAGATTTTTGATCGCACCGTTGATAATATAATCACATTTCGTTCTTGCCCTTGAAATGATTCAACTGTTCCCACAGTTATGCCTCTTAAATTCATAGCTGTTAAGTGTTGAATAATATCCAATTGCTGTCGTTTAAAAGGCGTTATAATTCCAATATCCTTTGGCGTTATTGTACGTTTTCCAAATTTTGTCGTAATCAACATATTCACATACGCCATCACCACTAGTACTTCAGCTGTATTATAGACACTGTAGTATGTTACAATTATGTTCATACAATTTAAAAAATCATTAATTACACACAATTACACATTAATTACACGTAATTTTACTTTAATAAGATTAGAATGAAATTTCGTAATAATTTCATATAAATATATGAACCTTTTCGTTGCAGATCTTTCTTCTTGGCCTAAAACTTCTTGAAATATCATAGGAAAATTTTTATTGGGTAATCTTGACCAGTTTAATGCCATTTTTGTATCAGCGCCTCCAAAGATCTCTAATTCCTTCTTATAAAATTGTTTATTCGACACGTATAAAAGATTTTCATGACTACGGTAATTTTTAATCAGTTTTGTTATATAATTCGGATTATATTTTCCATTGTGCCTTTTATATAGATCACAATCATCCATTAATCTTTCTAACATTGATCTTCCTAATATGGTATAAGAAATTAAATAATTAAAATATTATATATAAATTGCAAGATATTGAGTTCTATTTTAAATTTCTATTTTAAACTTGCCAAGCAGATGTTCAATTTCCTTGCAACGGACGATAGGTCCCAACTGGTAAGGATCACCCGCAATAACAATCTGTGCTTGAAATCTAGTTCTCTTATCTTCAGTTTTTTTATTTGTTACTGTGAGAGGAATTAATATTTCTGGTTCAGTCGCTTGACTTGCCTCATCGATGATTATGTAAGAAAAATGATTTTCCCGGAAATTTATACCAATTAATCTATAACGTATAAAAGATATATACATGTATATATAAAACATATAAAACACATATCATAAAAGTTTAATTTTGAATGATATCAATTTAATTGTAAAATATCTTTATATTATCTTATATTATTATATCTTATATTATTTATAACATTTATTTATGTTGTGCAAAAAAGTAAATTTTATTTACATAAATGTATTTATATTATTTTATTTAGCTATAAATCATTATTATCGTTTGAAAATAATGCTACATCTAAAATAGTATATACATATAAAATAAAAGACATCAAATGCATACCTTACGGATGATACTAATGTTGTAATAATAATTTTTTTCAGTAATAGTAGCTCTTTTGATAAAAAGAGCGTAGTTTTATCAACAAAATTTGCGCATGGTTGAATTTTTTCATCAACAGTTGCCCTATTTTCAACAAACAAAATTCAATTTACAATATATTCATATTTGCATTTTATCTTTTATAAAATATTACCGCAATTAAATAAAATTGACTATTATAGCTGAAAATTAAATTTAAAGATGTAGACTTTTAACTTGCACAATATCGTTAATCATGTTAGACACACACACACACACACACACACACACACACACACACACACACACACACACACACACACACACACACACACACACACAC